TTTATTGTGGAACACTTGCTTTCGGCCATGCACCACATGCTAAAAAGACTGTGCGCCCGGTCCAAGCGGTTGTCTATAGACTTGGATTGCACTCCCTCGTAATCGAAGTAGCACAGCCAGCTTAACAGGAACAGCACGCTGCCGCAAAGGTCTCGGGCAAATCCATATTTCAACATATGGAAGCAATCTCGCTTGTACAAGCTTGCCTTGCGGCTGCTCGCATAAGGAGCCAGGTTCAATGGAGGCTCTGCACTCCACGGATCGTCTTTGTACAAGCTATCAACCCACTTTGGCCGATCTGACATGTCTGTTGATGGGTATTCTGCGCGGCCTGCCCAGCACTCTGGGCACATTTGGCGGTGGTGAACCCGGCCTTCGTTAAGGTAGGTTCGGTCAAAGGATCCAGCATCCAGCTGGAGAAATTCGAAGTCCCCTTTGCATCCGATAAATGCCGCTCTATAAGTGACCCCATCTCGGTCTTGGATGCCGTTGAAAAACAAAGCTTGCAGGTTCTGAGCCACTTCCGTAAGCAGAGTGGGCACAATGGCATCATTCTGCGACAACACCTTCTTTGGTATGCATGCCACCAAGTACCGAGAAAACAAAGAGTTACCCTTACCATTGTGCCCCATGGCTTCAAGCAAAGGAGTCTCAGCAGAGCCAACACTGCAGTGCCCTTCGGGGACTGCAGGTTCCGGGCAGTGCTTTGCACAGCCAGCAGCCCTTTGGGAACACGTCCAAGCCAGTCGGCCACCATAAACCTTCTTTTTTTGATCAGCGATCTCACGTTTTGACTTGGATCCCGCTCGCCTGAACTTCTCTGGAAGAGCAAAAACTGTTTCCCAATCAAACACAAATACTGGTGCCTTCTGATAACCACGGCCCTTATCACCGTGGAAGGCGATCGGTAGTATTCTTCGGCGTTCCTCCCGTGAGTAGTGCTCGTACACTATGTGACTACCATGGTAGTACTGAAAACGCTCCCAGAAAACGTCACACAGGGTTTCTGCCTCTGGCCCTTTCGGTAGGCCCCCGAAAAGAAGTCGAGGATGCTGGTTCAGAAGTACTTGAAAAGTATCAGTTAGTTTCAGGAGGCTGATGTCGACAGGGTCTGCATTTGTGTCCCCAGCATCCACACGCAGCGTCGAGGTAGGGATGTTTAGTTTTAGTCCGTGCCGCCTAAACAAACGTTGGCTGTCCCTTTCCCCGTGACTCTCATGCACTCTTGCTGCCTGTGTAACCGAGGACTGCCCTTTGCAGCTTGGCTGGAAAGCTCTGGCCATACGGCCGATCTCACATGCAGGAGCCTGGGCGTGGATGGGGCGTGGCTTCGGCTGATTGTAACTTATGCATGTGGTTTATCACAGCTTTTATAGGTATATACGGTGTGTTGCGATTTCGGGTTATATAGTTCATGATATAAGGTTGTGGGTTTGGGGCTTTAGAAGATAGATCCTGGAATCCCTCGCGGCGCTTGCGGCTTACTTGGGGCACCCTTCATGGAGCTTAAACTATTATATAGCACCATGCGGATGGGGCACTTGCTTGGGCAAGAGTAGAGTTGGGTTTAGTTAATGCTTGTGGGGGCAGCAGTACTTGGCAACCAGTATAGATCTATGGTTTGGCTTTTTGGGTTAGGGCTTAAGTGTCATGTTAAATTTGGCTAGGGTATAGGCATGGGAGGGAGTGACAGCGTTGAGAAGTTGGAATTTCTCGTTGCGCGTGTAATCGGAAGGTACTGTATGGGCACATAAAATACTAACTCAACTACATTAAGAAAATGTGGAAGACACGCACACACACACACACACCCACACCCTTAACCGCCTTAACGGTGAACAGCTAGATGCGGGGCTCGTATGATAGGTCTTAAACCATATAGATGGTCGATCCGCATATATGAACCCCGTTATAAAGTCGACTCGACCCTGTACCCGAAGACGGTCTGTGGAGACTGGACGAGTAACTTTTTTTGCAGCTATACTATAGTATCCAGCCAAGTAGCCCCATCAGCCACAGATTGCGCAAGCGCCTCCAAAGCACATTGTCCAGCAATGTCTGGCTCGCCTGGCATATATGTATATACATACACGTGTAAGTATATATATATA